CGAAAGCGGGGATTTCGTCACCTCACCTGAAATAAGTCAGGTGTTCGGAGAGGTAACGCGTAGTTCCGTGTGTCTTAAGTAACTCCTTTTCATTCTCAAGTTGCAGTTAAGCTGGTTTTGGAGGAGGAAGGGGTGTTTTGTTTTTCTGCAAGGTCGGGGAGTCCTTTCTTGTGTTATCGTTTGGGGCACCGTCTGTGCTTAGTAACACTTAATCATAGAATCATAGAATGCTTTGGGTTGGAAGGGACCTTGAGAGATCATCGAGCCCAACCCCCCTGCAGTGAGCAGGGATTGAACCTGTGAACTTGGCGTTATTAGCACCACGCTCACTTATTTTCATATAGAACTTGTTTATAAATAAAAAGAGTTATGATAGTTTCCCAGTGTGAAAACTCTACTCAAAAATCTTTTTCAGATTTTGGTCTGGTTTGCTCTGGTTTGCATATCATTTCCAGTAGTGCAGATTGGCTAAACGCTGTTCTCGATGACGCTTTGGTAAATGCGTTGTCATGAAGAACAGCTCCTCAGAGGCAGCTGGGCAGTGACCTGCGTTTGAACCTTAAGTAAAAGTTCACACGCCAACCAGAAGAGTCCCACCCGTTTACTGATGGAGAGTGCCTTCTGCTGGGCTGACAGCAAACAAGCACCAATTTTAAGACTTAAGAAGGCAAAGTTGTATATGATTTTTCTTAACTTTGAAGCACACAGAGACAATATTGTATAGTATCTTAGTTATTAATTATTATTATAAGGCAGATGTCACTTTCTACAAGTTCTGAGGTTATTACTGTAACTCTTTGTGTTTTTTCTCACTGTCAGTTGATAGGAATATGGTATATTAGTGAATGGATAGCCACGGGCAAACCTAAAGCGTTCCAGCTGGTGGAACTGGGCCCAGGGAGGGGCACTCTTACTGATGATATATTACGGGTAGGTGAAAACTAATAGTAATGTTCTGTATGTCTGGCTTTATTCTGTGGCTACGCTGAAACCTGGAGGAGTGAAATTTTGGTGGTGGGGTTTAACCTTACCTAGTAACCCGATCATTTCAGTCGGGAGACTTGCAGCTTAGAATCTAATTAGAATATGTGCAAGTTTCTGCTATTCAGCAAAGAGACCAGGTCTCTGAGTTGAAAGCAGAACATGGGCCAGCATGCGTGCACTGCACAGGCACGCGTGTAATCTTTCAAACACTACTTGATAGAAGGGGAGGGCTGGAATATTCCATTGCAAATTATTTCTGTATAGGAAAGCATCATGCCAACTGAAAACCATTTAGGAGGGTGCTGCTGTATGTAACTGGGAGGGAGGCCTCAGTGTGAGCAATAGGAGGAGGACAATAATACAGGAGTGAAGTTGTGTCGGTTCCTTTGGGGATTGCAGGAGCTTATTTCTTTTGAGTTAACCCTATCTGTTCTATTGTGCTTGCATGGCTGTCAATTAAAATCTACTGACTCAAAACCAAATTGCTAATTCAGAAGAACTTTTATTCTATTTACATATGTTAATGAAAAAGAGCTTTGACAACCACAGTGAAATGTAGGATATTGAGCACTTTTTGTTTATGGTGTCTGGGAAAACGGAACCATTTTTCTCCCAATGCTAAACCCGCCGTAGGTATTAGAGGGGCTACTCATTTTAAGCTATTACTATTCTAAATTAGCATTTCATGTTGCTGTTCTTACAACTATATAATGTGTGCTGTACTTCGCCAACTTTATTAGAAGCATAGCAGCTTTTATTAAAATTGGTGAAGAAATTCCCATTTCCTTCTGGAGGAGCAAAATGCAATCTCTTTCACCGAGACTATTTTGTTAAATGAAAGCCCACTAAATCTTCTTTTGAATATAAGTAATGAGATTAAAGGTTAATTCTTAAACCTTTAGTGTATACAGCATGTGACTGTGCCTAATAGAATTCATCTGTCTTTATAGGTCTTCAACCAGCTTGCCTCTTTACTTAGTAAATGTGATGTCTCTATTCATCTGGTAGAAGTGAGTCCCAAACTCAGTGAGATCCAAGCGCTGATGCTGACAGGAGGGAAGGCGCAGTCAAACCCCGAGGACAAGTCCGCTTACATGGAAGGAGTTAGCAAGACTGGAATTCCCATTTTCTGGTACAGAGACATTCAAGATGTGCCACCAGGTAAGGAGCTTGAACATCTTGTTACAGGGATGGTATCCTTCCTCCGTTTGCAGCTTTTGATAACCGAGGACAAGTCTGTTAGCCTTCATAATGGGTAGAGAAGTAGTTAGTATACATATTAGCTCCTGCTTCTTGTATGAGTCTGAGGCAGGATCTTGACTCATTCTCGTAACAGCTACCTATTCTGACTACCTTCATTTTGGGATAGCTACCCAATTGTATATTTTGACTTTTTCTTTTCATGGGCTTTGCCTGAATCTCCTTTCATGAGATACCAATGTAAAATTCATGGACTGGAAGCCATAGCTAGCTGTAGAAATGCTGTGTTTGATGTATCCAAGCTGGAAGTAATGGTAATTATTTCAAAACCACATTAACTAGCTTAATTCATTAAAATTCACAAAAACATTTTAATTTTCAACTGGAAGCTGCTATGGAAGCATTAATAATTGAATGCATTCTTTTTTACCTCCCCGCAGGTTACAGCTTTTACCTAGCACATGAGTTTTTTGATGCCCTGCCAATACATAAGTTTCAGGTATAGCAAGAATATTATTGTAATTGTGACCATCTGCTTAAACACCTTTTCCTTTTGAGGAAGAATAGAATTAGGGTACCAAAATAGTTATAGGCATTGTCTCTGGTGGTAAAATATTTCTAACTGAATTTGGACAAATAAGGCTTATTTCAGCTGTTAACTGTAAAATTAGTAATTGTTCTTGAATGGAAAAACTTGTAGAAAGCTAAAGATTTCTTTCTGTTGAGCTAAGTCTCAAGTTTTTTTTTATTTCTTACGCTACACTAATGAAGTTTTTAATTTCAACATTATTTTACGTACCACTACTAACAAAGACTGAAGGGCTTTCATTTGAATGGTAATGGGAATAGGAAAATAGAGGCCTAGTTAGGATTCAGAAGAAACTTTCAACTTTAATTTGATAATCAGTTTATGAAAACCACTGTTAGAATAAAATATTTTGTTTTGATGAATAAATGTTGCACCGTCAATAAAAGAGGCAGCATTTTTCTTAACAGCATCATTCATTCCTTTAAGTATACTTAAACCTGTATTTGTTGACTCTGCAGATGAGTCTCTACCACAAGCTTTTTCCAAGGCAGTTACTGGGATTAAATAGGAATGAATAATTGTTGTTAGAGCATATTATGTTCTTAAAACATTTGTGAAAATGCTTGAGACATTAGTTCAATCAAATAAACAAGATACTGTTGTACCCATTAGAGCCTAAAATGAGTACTTTGGGCTCATTAAACAGAGAACAGAGAAAGGCTGGCGTGAAGTGTTGGTTGATATAGATCCAGAAGTTCCTGACCAGCTGCGGTTTGTCCTGTCACCATCCAGCACCCCCGCGACAGAAAACTTTATTCAGGTAAGGTTATACCCGCCAGAGTTCATACTTACATCTTTACTGACTTTTTCACATACACTTGCTGCTTCTCAGTTACTTTGACAGCAAGAGGAGGGCTCTCACTCCATAAATGAGTAAATACAGCTTACTATTTCCATTCTGCAAAACTTCCACAAGCATTTAACTGCAAAATATAGCACAAAAATAATTATGTACATCAAACTTTGGAACATCAGTGCTTAAACAGACAAAATGCTTCAGAGAGCAAACCAAGGCAGCAAGTGACAGGGAGAGTTCTGCGTTGCGTGTGTCACATCACCATCTCGACAGTGGCCCTGCCTAAGCCAGGCTCTCAACCTGCCGTGTACGTACTCAGTGCAGCCAGGTACTTCTGTGCTGTACCGACCTTTAATGGAAAGTGTCTTAAGACTATTCTTTTTTCTAAAGTTCACTGGATTCTTAAAGTTACAAAATGAAGTAGTTGAGATTAAAGCCAACTTCAAAGTTTCACACGGGCCTTTTTGAAGGGTGCACATAGCCGAAGAGCTATTTTCATTCTTTCAGTACCACAGTAATACAGTTTCACTTGATGCAGGTATTCTTACTTGTTAGAAAAAGTTTCATTTGACTATAGGTTATAGAAGAGATGACTGAAAACAGTAATTGAAAATGACTGTTAGCAAAAACTAGGGCAAGCTCTAGGTAGCCTAGAATACACCCCCAGACTTCTGTGCCCCAATGAAGTGACAACAATCCCAAGATGTCAAGCGTGAAGAACTCTTGCCTTGTACTTGTTTGCTAATACAGGTGTTTTGATCTTTGAACTCTGCACTAGCCTGAAGAAATGAGAGATCATGTCGAAGTGTGTCCTGAGGCTGGTGTCATCATTCAGAGGCTCGCCTGTCGTATAGAAAAGGATGGCGGGGCTGCACTGGTTGCTGATTATGGTCATGAGGGAACCAAAACTGACACTTTCCGGGTAAGTCATTTACCCTGAAATAGTAAGCCAAAATCCTCTGTTATCTTTTATTTGTCACTTGGATCATTAGGTTCTTGTAAGAGAAAGGTCTTGGGTGGACATAATAGCAAAAATTGCATTATGCTGCAATCATAAAACTCAGTAATTGAGTCCCTATTTAGTCAGTACCCCTAATGGTTTCCGCCCCATGGAAAGGATAATCTGAGCCCTTGCTACATTTATCTCAGATTTTCAAAGTATGATTTGCTTTTCTCAGCCCTCACATGCACAACTTAGTCTTTGCTAGCCCCAGCTGTGGTAGCTGGGAGTACAATCTTCCAATTTAATTTTTCAGGGTTTCCGGAATCACAAACTTCATGATGTGCTGAGAGCTCCAGGTACAGCAGACCTGACAGCAGATGTTGATTTCAGCTATCTTCGAAAGATGACACAGGGAAGAACAACCACATTAGGCCCCATAAAACAGCGGGAGTTTTTAAAAAACATGGGCATTGACCTCCGATTGCAGGTATGATAGTGTTTACAGGTACATAAACTCTCCTAATCCACAAGCAGTACTCTTAACCAGCAAGAGAGCTTTTATAGAAGTCTGATTTTAAAAGAAAGTTCTGCAAAACAACATGTAGGTGTGAGATCAAAGAGTTGCTTCTCCTAGACATAAGTTACACTGGATCTCTCAAAGTAAACTGATCGTATTATATTTAGGAGTATTTAATGCACAACTTCGCTACATACATCAGTGTATAAGCTCCACCAGGGATCTTGCCAGTTCTGCTTAACACTATGGCACTGCTACATTCGTATAAGTGAAAATGATGCAACAAGAGATTTGCAGGTATGAGGGAATTTATAGGAAAGCAGGAAGGGCTATAACCTGCATTTTCTTTGTTTAGGTGCTCTTGCAGAATTCACGTGACACAGCAACTCGTGAGCAGTTACTTCACAGCTATGATATGCTGATGAATCCCAAGAAGATGGGGGACTGTTTTAACTTTTTTGCCTTGCTGCCTCACCACAGACTTGCACATCCTGACAAGAAACATAAGCCAGAATCAAAGTCTCCCTTACCACCTGTTGCTGGATTTGGTGAACTCCTACTGAAGTAATTTCAAATACTATAGCAAAATGTCTGATAATAGTAGCTTTCAGTAGTAACTTATTAAAATAAAATAAAAACCCCAAAGTAAAAGGAATGCAGTCCTGCATTTTATGGTTTCACATACTAGATGTTTTGCAATGTCAGCAGCATATAGCTATATATGCAGTAAGGTAAGAATTAAGTATTTTGGTTTATCTTTGAACTGAAAGTACATGAAATGTCACATAACTTCTCCAGGCAATTTCCTCACACCAATCTATGCTTCAGGGCCTAGCCACGTTTTGGTTGGGAGTGCTATTTCAGAGTAAACCTAGTGCAACACACTAAAGCTATTGACTGACCCATGCAGTGTGTGTAGAAATCAAACGCTACACATACAGAAACCAGCGTACACAGAGCAAACAATGTTTCGGGGGTCTTACAGTAGAGCTGAGTGAAGTATTTACTAGTGGAATCAAGTTAAAACTTGTCAGTAACAAACATGCACTAAGGAGACTTTCAGGGTACTCACTTAAAACACAAGATGCATTGACCTTTTTGAAGACATTTTTATAAAGAGAATGGCAACAGGAAGCATGCAGAAAGAGTTATTAGTTCCAAAGCACCTGCTAACAGAATTCACACACACAGCAGGGCCTATCCAATGACAGATCCACAACCAAGGAAGCATAAAGAAACATTTACTTCTATGAACATGTGATAGGAGAGATAATTCATGTAAATAAAAAGAACAAATCTGATAGGGAAATAAATTTTATTTTCAAGCTTATCAGAAGGTATTTACAAAAAATGGGATGTATAAAAATATAAAAGTACTTGACAGTGTCCTTTTGAGGCTATAAATTTTACATGAGCTTTTTTATAGCATCATCATAGCACTATTTCTTGAATGAATGCAACTTAATTCATGTAGGGGTAAGGATATGAAACACTGTAACCTACTGCTGTCAAAGTTTGCAGTAAAGGCAGAAAAAAGGGGAATTAAAAACTCAACTGTTTTTACTACTCTGAAGAACGTTTACTCCTAATGTGTCTGATTTTTTGGTTCCTCGACTATTAGCTGCTTGTGGCTTCTATTGTCTGGCCCCATAAGTCTGTGTCTACGGTCAGGCAATCTCCTCCAAAGGCCAATAGCGTTTTTTTTTTTTTTTTTTTTAATCCAACTTGAAGAATAAATAGCTCATATAATATTTTGGAGCAGAGCAGACTTCATGGGGAGACACATCAGCCAGGCCTTCTACTTCACTGTTGTCCCCTCCTTCCTCTATTCCTGC